CGCCGAGGGGAGCGCGGGCATGTTCGGCCTCCTGGCTAAGGCGCTGTCCTACCTCTGGCGACGTGCAGGTGAGGAGGAAGGAGAAGATGAGCGACGGGCGGCCTCAGGTAGGAGTTCTGGACCTGCCGTGGGTTGGCGGTGCCAGATGTAGGGCCTGTGCGCAGCTTGAGAGCCGTGAGGGCCACCGTGGTCTCATCCGCCGCGTGGGTGGGGCTGAGTGAAGACCTGAAGAAAGGAAATCAGGAAAAGCAGACAGCTTTTTTGACTACAGAGCACGTGGGAGTGTTCCTAGCAGTGCTTTTTTTGCACTGGGGATGGTTACTGGGGGGATGGGTTACTGTTGCTGTGTGTAGTATGGAGTGAGGTGTAGGAGGAGTGTTGTGGTGGTGGGTGATGGATGCTTTGGGCTTTCCCTGGTACTGCTGTCTTAATACATAATAAACCCTCATCTTTCTTGGGTGGTAGACTGGTGATGGTAGTGTAGCTTTGATTTTTTGAGGCTCCAACATGGTGTGCATTTAAAATGCTTTTAGTAGCAGCATTCAAAGTAGCAAAAAGTGCTTTTTCATATTTGTGAATACAGAAAGCAAAAAAAGACTGCTTACTCTATTAATATAGTCTTGATTGTGAGTGTAGCTAATAATATGTTAGAAATCTAAACTAGCATACTTCAGCTTTAAGCCTGAAGTTGTAGCGCGGTGCTGTTGAGTGAAAGTTTGTGTGATACGTAAGCAGATAATACTTTTAATCCAGAAGAGTCAGAACTCCTAGGTCTCCAGAGAAACAGTACCACATCTCAGTTCAGAAGTGTATTAACTATAATATTATATAAACAAATTTGAAGAATTAATTTGTATAGCTTATTTTTCCTGCTTTTTCAGTACAGAAATCTTAAACTTGTTGGATTCCCCATGCAAAAAAATGCTGAGAGCTTTCTTTTGCTATGGAAAATCTTGAAAATAGTAGTTGGCCCAGAGCTTTTGGGAGAGACTTTTTTAGCTTGCAGATATTTTTTTTATCTCAAGTTTTTTAAGGTATTTGAAGGCTGAGGGGTGACCTCGTGGCAGTCTACAACTTCCTAGGGATGGGCAGCAGAGAGGGAGGTGCTGATCTCCTCTCTCTGGTGACCAGCGATAGGACACAGGGAAATGGAATGAAGTTGGGTCAGTAGAAATTCAGGTTGGACACTAGGAAAAGTTCTTCACTGGGAGAATGGTCACTCACTGCAACAGGCTCCCCAGGGAAGTGGTCACAACACCAAGCCTGTCAGAGTTCAAGAAGCATCTGGACAACGCATTTAGTCATATGGTTTAGTTTAGGTAGTCTTGCAAGGAGCAGGGAGTTGGACTCAATGATTCTTATGGGTCCCTTCCAACTCGAGATACTCTATGGGTTTTTTTTAATGCAGCTTAAGGCATGTTGTTTTTACAACATAGTTTGTATTTAACTATCTTTCTTAATTGGCTGAAACCATAACTTGTCATAAGACTTCAAGACTTAAATGTGAAACTTAATTAGTTGGCAACTGTTGGTATTTTTAGCTGAAGAGAATGACCTTTTGATAGAAGGGATAGCACTTTTAGTAGCATTCATTACTTGCTGCGTGGTTCTGTAAACAAGTGATTTGTTTCTATGTTAACACTTTCCCTCTGGATGCAGGTGATAAAGAATTTAAAACTGTACAAGGAGTAGTGACGAGATTTTGCAATGGTTATGGGATGATAGATGACATGATAATCTTCACAAAGGATGCTGTTACAAAAAATGTGCTGCTGACTATTGGACAGGAAGTTACTGCCACTGTTGAAGAGGATAAAACATCAGGTGGCTTGAAGGCCATCAAGGTAAGAGGTGAAGATAAATAGTAGTCTCACTTAATCTGGAAGAAGTCTCACTTCTTTTGGAAGTTACTATAGTTTTAGCCTTCTGAATTCCACAGAATAGGAGAAGTTGCCAGCCCTGCACCTAGTGGAGATAAGTTGTTTTGGTTTTTTGTTATTGTTTTATTCAATCTCCTTTAAAATATTGTTCCTTTAATCTGATTCTCTGAACATAGATCTAGATGTAGTGAATATGAAACTATTGATTAAGATAATTGCATCAGAATTTGTTTAGTCATACCTAGTTCAAATCTCTGTGTGTTAACTTTTTTGGAGCTTCAAAGTCAATTTCACATTATTGTTATATCAGTGAATAAGAAAATAAAAACAGAGGCTGCAAGTTTACTCTTTTTTTGCACAGAAGTGAATAAGAACATAAATTCCAAAACTTCGTGTTGTAAAAAATCGGCAACTTAATGTCAGAGTTATAAAAATGGAGACTTCAATACCTTTCTTGCTTAACACTTCATTTGTAAACCCTCTTCAAGCTTGATTATACATTGTCACACTTTAAACTACTGTAATTTTTTCGATTGTATAGGCTCAACTCTCAGGTGCCTGTGGTAATCTAGCTGAGAGGCTGAATCAAGTGGCGCTTCTCCATTTAGGTATTATGTAAATATGACCCAGTGCTCCGAAGACTGACAGCAGTGCAGAAGCAGTTGATAACTGGGTGGTACGGAACCCATCTTCTTAGCTTGTATCTACTTGGCTTAGCTGCATTATTCTTTAAATACAGCACTAGACTAGTGTTCTTCATCTAATAAACTCAGCTTGACCAAAAGTCTGAGCCAAAGCTTTAGCTGCTTGTACAGAGCAAATTGCAGTGTAACTAGTTTAAAAGTTAACTTGAGTTTTCTAGTAAATGGATGTTTTATAATTAAGCATCTTATCAGCTCATGCCGTCTATAAAGAATGTAATCAGCAAACATAGTGGCTTCAAGGATCATGTTTCAGATAATAGGAAGGCAATGATTAGCCAAAGTATTTTAATGTATCTAGTAATCTTACTAGTAAAGTTCTGATATGCAGGCTTAATAAGAGTGTGAGTTACCAGATTGAAGAATTTGTCATTAATATGTTAAATTAGCAAATGATACATAAATTGGGGGAAGGAGGTCAAAATCTTGCATTGATTAGCATATAGTGTTTCTGATTCCTCATGCCCTTCTTTTATGCACCATCCTGATTTTGGTACTTCAGAGACATTTTGGTCAGTTGCCAGCAGTGTCCAGACATAAACAGCTGTCCTATGGAAGTGAGTTTGTATTATTTTGACATGTTTGGTAATTCTGTTGGTCCCAAGGGGCATATATTAGTAGAGTGAATTACAGTTCGTAGCTGAAACTGCTAGTATCTCTGTGGTAATGTACTGTACACTTTTCAGAATTAGTCTGTTGACCAATCCTGAAACTGTTCTTACTAATGGTAAGTAGAGACATACCTTTAAAAATATTTTAATCTGTCACCGTGGGATTGCTCCTTATTTATATTTGTCTTCTGTTACACACAGCTCTTCTCTTGATGATAAACTTGAGCAGTTGAAGATCCACTGGATTTTTCTGTGCTCTCTTTTGGAAAAGAGCTTCATGGCTTTTAAGTAGGCCCTGAATGTCAGTGGAGGCATTGACATGTCTGCGCAAAGCAAAGTTGTATGGTGTACTCTTTCTTGCTCCCTATCCCTCTCAAAATTTGAGGACTTGACCTATCTGTTTTAATTTTCCAGATGTTTGAAGGTCAAGGTAACTCAGTAAACTACTGAACACTTGGAAATCCAGGGGGTTATTCACGTGTGCAGAGGCCTATGCAATGTATCTGTGATGTGCAGGACATGTAACTGCTGGAGCGTCATTGCTGTATAAAACATCTAATTAAAATTGAGAAGAGCCTGCTATTGTGGAGGACGTGTGCTGTATGTACATAAAGCTCACATATACATCTATGACTGGAAGCACAATAGAAATTTTAACCCTGCCTGTTGGTGATACTTCGGTTTTGAAGAGCTGTACTTAAGGCCAATAGAGGCTCTGTGAAGAATGACCAGATACCATCACAGGCTGCTTTGTGAGTGATCACATGAGCAGTTTAGTACAATATGGTTCCATTCACTCTAATGGTCTTCCTTTGAGTATGACTATGTGGATGAAGGAGAAGTAAAGGTTTGTCCAGTTGATCAGTGTTTTTCTTGTACAGTAGAGGCCAAAACTGTACACAATATTACAGATGTTGTCTTAAGAGTGCTGAATAAAGGGGGATGATCGCTTCCCTTAACTGGCTTTTTATGTCACAGTGTATTTTGTAAGCTTTCTGAAATAAACTGATTTAGACTAGTAATTAGTCTAGTCTAGACTAGTACACCTGTTGTTGGGGGTTACATTTCACTTGTGTAAACAGTGTAGTGTTTTAAGTGAGCACTGGTCACTGCAATGGAGTGTGCTGGGACAAGATCACCAGGCCAGCTGTTAGCTCCGCGATGGATATATATGCCACCAGGAGCATAGAAGGTGTCCCTGTCCTAGCCAAGGATGAGTCTCCCTGCATAAACACTATGTAAATTTTCAGCAAGTACTTTCATGTGGAATCTGTTGCTGGTTCCTTTGCTAAACAAGTCTTCTTTGTAAGAGGAGTCAACTCTCGGGCTAGTTCAGGTAGCTTCCCTCACCAGTTTTTATTCTGGGATGATGCCTCAGCATCTGGAATAGGATCCATGTGATCAAGACAAAGCAGTTAACATTTGAACTGTTTCTTCTTGCTTTGCAATGTACGTGTTGTTTGTGGAAATTGTGCCTCTAAGAAGCACCACACAAAGGTAGTAATAGCATTTAACGATTGTAAAAGTCTTATCAATACTTAGGGAAAGTGTGGCTATAGAACTGTTTTCCATCTGTGCATGAATGGTGATCTTTAAAGAGAAAGATGGCGCTGTATAGAGTCTTTTGTCAGTGTATTACTTTTTTCACATTCTACATTAAGAAAATACTGTTTATTCAGAGTTTCTAATCTTCATGTAGAAGTGAAAACACTACAGCTAACTTTTTTCTGTCCAGTCGTGGTTTTTTTAGTTATTTCCTTATCTGTGTTATTCTAGTTTTCCACTCAGTTTCTTTATTCTGGTTGTGAATTTGTAAACATTCGGCTTTCTGAAATAAGCTGTTAATGTAATGATCTGACTTGTACACTTACACTACAGTTCACGGAAAAAGTTGTGCATGGGCATTTCATTCAATGCATTTGTTTAATCACTGCAGATACCTTACACACTTTCTTCATGCTTTCCTACATCCTTATCCTCATAAGCCTCACAAAAGAATTTGATACCTTTTTTTTTTCCCCGCTTTATTGCACACTGTAGTTTCTCTACGTACCATCTGGAGTCAGCAGTTCTTGCTTAACAGTAATAAGTGCTTCTGTCCAGTGGCATTGGCATTGTTACTGTCCCCGACAGTCCTTGTGGAGAGCAAGGAACCTCTGAAGAACAAGTGTTCGAGCTGCAGAGTGGAGACTCCTGAACCCATCATGCTGGTGGCCCTTTGGGAGCAAGGAAGAGAACTAGGAGTTCTAGGAATTCTAGTAATTAAGAGATGATCTGTCCTTGCCCCAGTATAGCTGGGGCGGGGGGAAATGGTTTGTATACATCGGCAGTTTGTAGCTTGTGTTCTGCAGAGGGCTGTTTAATCAAGCAAGCTTAAGTTTGAGGTGGTGATAGGTAGAGTCTGTAATAAGCAGCTCTTTAGGGTTTTTTTTATTCAAATTATTAAAGAATGACTGAGGGGGAGTCTGAAATACATGTAGTGTTTATAAATAGCATCTTGAAAACATACTTTTTTTGCTTTCTGAAATAGTGATGTTCTAGTTCCACTTGTGTACAGTCAGATTGCTGGGGGAGGGAGTGTCTCTTGTCAATATGAAGAAAATTCTTAAGTAGACCTAAACCAAGGGAAGCGTGAGAAAGATTTGACAAATCAAAAATCAACATGTAATTATAGTAGTTGTGAATGTTGCAGCATACAGCAGACTTATTAAGAGAAGTTACCTACTGTTTACTACTCCTGTTGTGTACAAAAATGAACAGCTACAGTGAGCATAAAATTGTCTAATAAGGATCTTGACTTCCATAAGCAATTGCAGTTCTGATATTTATTGTAGGAATATGTTTAACATGTAATTTTAAGTATTAGCTGGCTTAATGTATTAATTTTTGTATTAATAGGTAGACGCCATCCAGAATACATGGGAAGACTCCAATCCTACTTGTGATGCTTCTGAACTAAATATGAAAATATTAATAGGCAGTGTTACGTCTGTCTCTAAGGATGGTGGCTATATTAATCAGAATACTTTTTTTGCAATGGAAGACGTCTGTGAAGGTGCATAGGGGCTTTCTTGTTTGCTCTTCCTTAATTTTTTTTTATATGTACAATAGAAATATCTTCTGGTAAACTTGCAGTCCACATCCCAGATAAGTTCTTGTAGAGTGTATGTAGTGAAACATGTAGGGATTTGAGTGAAGAAAGCTACCTGTTTATTCTTACTGAGCGTAACTTGTACGCAGTCACGTAAGCATAAGTTACATGTAAGCAAGTGTATTTTTCCACTAGCATCTCTTACATAGTTACCTAATGGGGGAAGAACTGCGAAGGGAAGTTTGAACTCGGTGGATCTGAATAATGCATTGTTCTGGCTGGTCATTTTATTTAACTTTAAACTAGTTCTGTATGGGAGTAATGCAAATGTCATGAGCAGCAATTCAACTTGAGAAATGTTCTCTTTTACACAGGTTTCAAACCTTGTGAAGGTGACTGGGTGCAAGCAAAATATTTTATTAACCCGACAACATGGAACAGTGAAGCAGTTGCTGTGAAGCCTTTGAGATACAAGCAAGTAGACAAGGTGAATGTTCTGCATATTGTTTTTGACAAGAGGAGTCTTGCGTGAAGTGGGGTTTTGAAGGTGGTTTTAAGGTGCTAATATTGGTAGATCTTCTATAACATCTTTAACTAAAAGATAAAACATATCAAATCATCCATTTATAGGATTATTTCTAAAATAAGGGGTTTTGAAAAAGCATACACATTTTGGTTAGAACAGGAAGAGTAGGTAACTTACTGGCTGTCAATTGTTGATTTGGATGCTTACTGTTGATTTAGTTACACTGGTTGTAATGAGGATGTGTGGATTTTCAAACTTTTAAGAAGCAATGACTGTGGAATTTATTATGTTTACTTGAATATATCCAACTGTTTTGGCTTAAAAACAACCGTTCTCCCTTTTATTTTAATGAAAATATTTGTTCTCTATAGGAATACGTACATTAGGTTTATGGTTTATTGTATTTGCCTTAACTTTATATATTGAATAATATTTGCATGTCAAGCGTAGGAAAATAATTTTGTCTCTTGTGACTGCTAGTATTGAAGTATAAATTAGGTAAGTTGGTAAGTCAAAGACGGGTATCGTGATTAAGTCAAATGTATGTATGCGCTTAAGTGGAACCTAATGCTTATCTGAAGTGCTTGTGTTTCTTTACGTTTTTAAATGTAAAGACAAGCACAGTGATTCTAGGTTAGAGCTGTATGTTTACCTCCCATAAATAACTGAAACTTCAGAATGCAGCTCTGTTACACATTCCAGACACACTCTGTTAGCACAGTGCTAGAATGACTGTTGCAGGAAAAAACTATGCAATGGTAGTATGCCTGTTAGCTTAAGCAGATAGTATCAAGTAACAGTGAATAACAAACTGTTACAGGTTCGCATTTCCAGCATCTGTGGAAGAAGTGGTACAGTAGATGACAGTATATTTTTCACTTTGGATTCACTGAGACTTCCTGATGGCTACTCACCTTGTAGACACGACCTCGTGAACACAATTGTGGTGGAGAGCAATCAGTCATGTTATATTTGGAGAGCGCTCTGCTTGGTGCCAGTCAACGAGCATAGGTAATATTCATTCTTTCATTCTCTTTCCACGTAGTAACAACTAGAGATGAATTGTAATTACGCAGCTTAAATTCTGTTGCATCTATTAAGCACGAAACGCTGACAATTCTTCACTGGTTGACTAGAAGGTATGATAGATCATTGGGAGGCTCAGAGTGTGATATGATTTGTCCCCTTGTGGGGACATCTGTGCTTACTAGAGAAGCAAAACTAGTAGCAGCTGAGCTCAGGGATATTGCTAGACAAGGAAGGATTTTTGCATGGTTTTGTTAGGAAAATGCAAAGCTCATGCTCTTACCTCGTTTCCTCTAATCTATGCTTTTCTAGTGAGGACTGTACTGTTTAAAAACCATTCTCAGCAAAACAGTAAAATGGATGTTTCTTTAATCCATTTTGCTTAAGTTGTAGTGATTCTTCAGATATCTGTCCTAGTGGAATAGTTTAATGATCTGAATAATAGAGATTTGTTGGGTTGCAAATATCAATCTTGAAGGTTCTGCAGGCACTTTAGATGGCATATGTGATGTGAGGAGGATCTGAACAGATTGCTGGAAAAAGTAAGTGATATTCAATATGGAGAAGAAGCAAAATTTTGTGAAATAATCAACTACACAAATGTAGAATGGGCAACAACTAGTCAGTAGCAGTTCTGCAGCAAAGATCTGGAGCTTGACTTGTGAGTCTAAGTCTTTCCTGTGAAAAATACAAATACTGCCCAAATGTATATAAACAGGCCCATTACCTGTAAAATCCGTCATTCTGTATTGGGTTTGTGTAGCAAAGTCTTGGTAGTGGGAGGGCTACAGGGGTGGCTTCTGTGAGAAGCTGCTAGAAGTTTTCCCTGTGTCTGCCACCGGCCCAGGGCCAGCCCAACCA